GCAGCTGGAATCGGAATGGGAGAGTGCCAAACCCTTTACGGATCTTCCCGGTCCGACACGGTGGGAATTATTCCGCGGTTTCCAGAAGGGCGGTCAGTACCACCAGCTGGGAATGGATGATGTGATGCAAATGTACAAAAAGCAGTTTGGCGACATATGCCTGATACCTGGACTATTCGGCATGCCCTCCACTGTGTTCAGCTTCAATGTGGAAACCTATGAGCGGATTTATCGCACCGAAGGTCAGTGGCCAGTCAGAGGAGGCGCCGAACCCATCCTCCACTACCGCAGCAAACGGAAGGACGAGTTTTTCAAGAACTGCGTGGGACTGTTCAGCAAGTGAGTTCAAAAAATACTCGTACATGGTAATCTTACTAAGACTTCTGAATACCTGCAAAGTCTCGGCCTATTAAGTTAAAGCTCTTTCCATCTTCTGATCTTAACGCCTAATTAATTTCTTATAGCTCACACAAACTAATTTTGTAAACTATTAAATTATTAATTCACTTTTAAAGCGTCAAAGTAAAAGTGTCCAGATAAATAAATGGCCATTTTAACGGATTCTCTTTCAATTTCAGTGGCCCGGAGTGGGGAAGGATTAGGACTGCTGTCAACCCCGTCCTGATGCAGCACCGAAATGTGGCCATCTATCTGAAACCGATGCAGCGGGTCAATCGGCAGTTTGTGAATCGCATCCGCGAGATGCGCGATAAGGAAACCCAAGAAGTGCCGGGCGACTTCCTAAATACCATCAACCATCTGACCTTTGAGTCAGTGGCGACAGTGGCCCTGGAGAACGAATTGGGACTTCTCCGGGAAGCCAACCCGCCGCCGGAGGCCAGCAAGCTGTTCCAAAATATCGATGTCCTAATGAACTCCTTCTTCGAGCTGGGCGTGAAACCATCGTTATACAAGTATATCCCCACACCCACCTACAAGAAGTTCAGTCGGGCCATGGATGAAATCTTCGACACCTGTTCGATGTACGTAAATCAAGCGATAGAAAGGATAGACCGGAAATTGTTACGAGGCGATTCAAGCGATCATAAGAGTGTTCTCGAGCAGTTGCTGCAAATCGATAGGAAACTAGCCACTGTTTTGGCCATGGACATGCTCATGGGAGGAGTCGATACCACCAGCACGGCCATCTCTGGAATAATGCTAAACCTGGCCAAAAATCCGGAGAAGCAGCAAAGGCTCAGGGAGGAAGTTCTAAGCAAACTGACTACGCCAGATCGGGAATTTACTCTGGAGGATATGAAATCCCTTCCGTATCTGAGGGCAGTCATCAAGGAATCGCTACGAGTGTATCCAGTCACCTTTGGTAACGCCCGATCCGCCGGGGCTGATGTTGTCCTCGATGGCTATCGAATCCCCAAGGGCACCAATCTTATGATGACCAACAGCTTTTTGCTTAGGAACGACCGATTATATCCCCGGGCAAAGGAATTCATACCGGAACGCTGGTTACGCCAAAAGGACGAAGACAGCTCGGATGTCCTGATGAACAAGAACTTAAGTGGCTTTATCTACTTGCCATTCGGATTCGGACCACGCATGTGCGTGGGCAAACGGATTGTGGATCTTGAATTGGAACTTACGGTGGCCAACTTGGTGCGAAATTTCCATATTGAATATAATTACCCCACCGAAACGCCATTCAAGTGCACATTTTTGTACAAGCCCGATATTCCTCTAAAATTCAAGTTTACCGATCTGAAATATTAAAAAGTGATAAAGTGATAAAATATATGTATTCTTAATATTTCCATCGCGATGGTGCTTTTGTATAACCACATTAGATGTTAAAACATCAAGTTCAAAAATAAACAAACTGCAACAAAATACGTTTCTGTTTTAGTAAAATAATTAAAAATATTCCTTAAATCTAAAAATAAAAGTCAGCAATACCGAAAAAAGATATCCAAAGCAATATTAAAAGTGTAACTTTCATGTAATGTAACGTAATGTAATGTAAATGTAAAAAATCTTCTTATTCGTTAGCAGTTGACTTAAAAGTAACATTCCATTTTTACAGCAGCCAATAAGCTGTTAGGGGCACAAAAGCAGGGCAACAGCTGTTGCTGGGAAATTCCCCACGTCTGGTCACACCAATCCTGACAAACAGAAGTGATTCATACAAACCCTTCTTCAATAAAAACAACGTAAATTGATCAAGTTCATCCGCTTAAGCTGGAAACCAACACATAACCTTTTCTCCTCGTTCGTCATTGTAATTTCATCAAGCTGGGTAACGACATGTCTACGAGTTCCATGGAAAGTAAGTGGAGCATAGCGATGACGCCAGACGAAGATTCCGAATGACCCACACCTCTTTTTCTCGCCCCCAGAACACCTTTTCAATCTAAAATTTGCCGTAAAGGAGTTGGAACGAAACTCCAAGAAATGTGAGAAAGAGGAGAAGCTGGAGAAGGCCAAGGCCAAGAAGGCGATTCAGAAGGGCAACATGGATGTGGCCCGCATCCACGCGGAGAATGCGATCCGCCAAAAGAACCAGGCGGTTAACTACCTCAGGATGAGTGCCCGAGTGGATGCAGTGGCCAGCAGGGTCCAGTCCGCCCTCACCACCCGCAAGGTCACCGGCTCCATGGCCGGTGTGGTCAAGGCCATGGATGCAGCAATGAAGGGCATGAACCTGGAGAAGATTTCCTCCCTGATGGAGAAGTTTGAATCGCAGTTCGAAGACCTGGACGTCCAGAGCTCCGTAATGGAGGGCACCATGTCCGACACGGTAACTACCTCGGTGCCCCAGGGCGATGTGGACAATCTGCTCCAGCAAGTGGCCGACGAGGCTGGCCTCGAACTTAACATGGAGCTGCCCAGCGGAGTCCAGAGCCAATCCGTGGGAGCCTCAACAGCCGTGTCCCAGGAGCAAGACGAGCTCACCCAGCGACTGGCACGTCTCCGCCAGGCCGAATAAAAATAGCGAAGCCCTGCCCGTTGAATTTCTGTTTTAGCAATTAAGTACATTCAAAATATAAATAAGTATAAATTCAGTTTTTGAAAGTCTATTGATGCTGCTGTCTACCATAAAATGTCATGAATCTTCAAATGCTATTGTGCTGTTTCTATAGGCTTCAAACGGATTTTTATGTGATTTCCGAATGCAATATACGATAATCCTGTTTTAAAGGCTTTGTTATTATAGTTATTTGAAAGCCTGCCAATTTTTTTTAGCTATTTTACTACCAAAGATAAACCATAATTTAAGTACAATGGCAATGAAAATAGAAAGAGTTCTGTGGCAGCCATGACATTCTTTGCTTTTGTTACTATAATTGGTTTGTTGGTTTGGATTTTGTCTTAATATTAGAGTGAAAAGTATACAAGACCTTTATCTTAAAATTACAATACACCACGGAATCGCTTAGGTTTAAGTCAACAGTTGAGGTTGTGGATGCGGAGGTGCGATGACTGGATTGAGACTGATGGGTGGCTGTTTGGCCTTTTGCTTTCGGGGCTTTCGTGCTGCTGGAGTATTGGATCCAGGCTCAGAACCGGGTGTTCCAGTTTCATCCGCCGCCTGCTTGTTTTTGGGCTTCGGTCCGCGGCGCTTTTGTTCGGTTTTCCCTTTGGGATGTGGAGCCACCATGGGGACTGATCGCCAGTTGTCTCCGTGCTTATCTAGGCGTTTTTTTAGAAGCTCCACGTCGTGATTGCGCCTTCTCACTATCTTTTTGATTCCATTTACTCTGAAAAATGAGTATTGAACATGTTTGTTTACGTTTCGTGGAGTACAAGAATTACGGTTACCTCATCACACATCGCTCATTTTCCGCCTGAATCCTCTGGCACCTGTCATACAGCTTTTCCACAAGCTGTTTGTACATAAGTTCCTTCTTATTTAGCAACATTTTATACAGACATTGGTTATAGTTAGTTATTTAGAAATGCATTTATTTACGACATGGCTCAGTGTGGCCAGATGGGCGAAAAGGCGCTGCCACTTCCATTTTTATTTAACTAAAATTAGCAAAACTCATTAAAAACTGGATGTCAAAATCTGAATATTTTGTTTTATTTTATTATTCATGGTTAAAGCTGGTTTTTTGAAATGCAAAATAATTAAATGGATATTTTCCACTTCAGTAGAACTATTTACCCCATATGTTATTCCGCACCAGCCTGGCAACTCTCTCATTTTGCAAACAGCCGTGTTAAACAAACCGACAATTAGTAACTTAGTTCCACAACAACAACCGGCATGCCAAACAAATCTTCCAGAGCAGACAGGAAGACACCCAGAAGCAAATAGATATAGTATTTGCACCAACTAGTATGTCTGCAGCCAACATGCCGACGACGACAGGAGCTCAGGGATCGGGAAACCAAGTTCCCACAACTAGCACTACGATTGTAAACCACTTCCGGGAGTTGATCAAGGACCCGAAGAATCTCGACGAGGCGTCCAACTATCTGTTCCAGACGCTGCTCGACGACGCCGTAGTCGGAATCTTCAACGAGACACATCACCTGCGAAAGTCCGGGAATCTAGCCGCCCTGGACGGAGTGCCGGAGGACTCGACCTATCGGATGTGCGAGATGCCCAACTTGGACATATTCGGCATCTCAACGGCCAAAAAGCCAATGGACTGCACCTGCCCCAACTGTGATCGCCTGGTGGCCGCCGCCCGCTTCGCTCCGCACCTGGAAAAGTGCATGGGCATGGGCCGTATTTCGTCGCGAATCGCATCTCGCCGCCTGGCCACCAAAGAGGGCGCCACATCCGCCCACCTGCACTCCGCGGGAAATACCGGAGGCACCGATGATGAGGACGACGTGGACTGGTCGTCCGATAAGCGCCGAAAGAAATCCAACCAGAACTCAAGGAACAACGGCTCCAAGAAGAACAATGGCAAAAGCTTTTAGTCGGTGCTGACCATCATGTTCGTAGTTTATTCTGCCATAAAAGTACACTTTTAAATCAGTCACCAATGCTTACTAAACTAATGGGACTTTGGTGATTGACCGCTGTTCTTACCACTAGTGACCATTTGCATAAAATAGAAGCAGTTACTAGAAGATTTAAGTAGGTGATATAACTGAAGGTAGGGTGATTCAAACAGAGACTTCCCTGATGCTATTTGGGAATAAGATAATGATATTAGTGGCTTAATTTAAGGTAATAATACGAAAGCAAGCCTTTATATCATCATTTGTAACTTTAAAGAAAATATGATTTTGTTAATTTCCATCCTTGTCAATGGCGTAAACCCGGATATGGTCGACCACCAGTGGTGTCCACTTCCGATTCCTAGACAATTCCTCGAATTGTTTGTCCGCTTTGGGATGGGTGTTTGAAAAGGGCTTGTGTTTCATATCCAGAATTTCGTCATTAAAATTTACATTTCCGCCGGCGGTTAGGCCCAGCACTAGATGGCACTGAAAACGAAAGATCCTAGAGTTCTTAAAACTTTAAATAACATTTTTAGAGAGAGCGGTCTCACCTCATGTTTATTGAATGGTTCAAGAAGAGTCGCATTGTGTATTGCTCCAAAGAACTCGCCATTAAACTTAAAGATAATTTTATCAGTCTGCCAGATAATAGTGTAGTCGTGAAAATCGTCCCCATAAAAATATTCTTCGTTCCTGGTTACGAAATGCTCACTTGGATTCGGATCGGTTTCTGTTTTGTTCCAAACCACAATCCCTCCAAACAAAGAACTCCCGTCGAGGGAAGATTGGTACTTGTCCTGCAGAACTGAATTGCCCCTGGCGTACAAGCGGATATGATCGACAAAATCATCATCAGACTTATCAATATTCGGCACCAGAAGAATGTCTTAAGTAAGAGTTATAATGTAGGGATTTCTACCAAAACTAAAAACTCCTTTACTTACTTGGAAATAACCAATCGCCCTTAGGCATTTTAGCTCTGATCTCAACTCGCCCATATTTGAAGGTAAAGTTCGTGTGCATATTGGCGGATCTGAAGGTCTTGGAGACCCAAGGCTCCCGTTTCGATCTTCTCGAGCTCCTTCCACACTCCTTTCTTTTCGCTATGCCTTCCTTTTTGCTGGTGCAGCCCAGAAGAATCATATTTCTCTCATCTTTGGTAATTGATATGTGCAAATTGTTGTTGGTTATATTCGAATTGTCAGGATCGTCCACAAAGGCAACGAACTCCTGGTTTTTCCCGCCAGTGTTGCGATACCTTACCTCGTGCTTCCAGTTATCCGTGAGCCTCTGATTGTTGTCGAAGTTATCTTCGAATAGTAGGTCCCCGCCGGAGAAACCGCTTCTATGGGAACACTCTGATAGCGTCTCTGAAGGACTCCTTTTAACAGACTTGCACTTTGCGATCATATCACTTGGAACCGTACTCGAGGTTAGTCCAGGCACATCAAGTAACTCGCCAATTCCTTTATCGTTAATTTTATACTCCGAAAACTGAGTTGCAATCTTATTTTTGCTCTCCACCACAGTTTGAATTCTTAGTTTGGCATTGGGTTCAATGGAATTTTGTAACTCTATCTTTGCACTCCATGGTCTTTCATTTGCGAACGAATATGCATTGTTATCGCACTCATTGTCAACCAGCTCGGCATGAAAGTATAATGACTCAATCCCTTCCAGCTCCCCGGGTAACATTATGGATACCTCCCTGCCCATTACCTCAACCACTGGATGCGGTACCTCCAGGGCAATCAGTAAGGAAACAAGACTACTTAGCCAAATTAGAAGAAGACAACCTTTTCGCATGGCGGCTGAATGAGACTGCCGTTTTACATAGATTCTTGTAAGCTACTAGAGCATCCAGTCCTGCAGTCAATGTGATAACCTGTGGGTTACTGCACTGCCTGATTTATTGCATATACGCTCTTAATCTTTCGTTCCCATATAAAAATAAGATTGACCATTGTCACATTGGTTTAAGTTATAGTTGGCCCAGTTATAGTTTTGAATACAATGAAAATATGTAATGAAAAATACAAAATTTAAGATATTGAATATTGTAGATCAGTAAGATCGCACAGGACATGTTCATTCGTCGTATTCGTCGGTAGAATAAACATTAATATTTTTTATGATCATCACAGCTTGGTCCCAATCGGGTGAATTGGTTATGGCCTTTTTAATTTTCGATGATAGGCCCGTCTCGAAATTGCGATAACTCTTCTGCTCTGGCGGAATGCGGTTATCCGGAAAATTGTACTCCCCGCCGACGGTTAGGTACAACTCAATATGGCGCTGAGAATTTCCGATTTTAATTGGTATTATTAAATAAGCTTTTCGATGACACCTACCTCTGCCCGACTGAGTTCTTGGACGACTGTTGAGTTGGATATCTGAGCAAAGGTGCGACCATCTATCTTAAAGGTGATGCTCTTCTCCTTCCAAATGGCCGTGTAATTGTGAAAGTCGTTGCCATAGTGATCGTCCCTGCAGGCGAAGTCTTTCAATTCAAAGGCGCGTCCACCGTTATCGTTGAGGATTGCACCGGCATAAAGGGTTGTCCCACCGACCTCGTTGCCGGCGAAATCGCTTAGCTTCTTATTGCCCCGGACAATGGCAATTCGAATGGCGTCGTGATTAATTGAAGTCAGTGTGAGTCCTAAATAAGGGTTAGCAGTTAGTTACCTTCATGTAGTGCAGTCTGAAAGTTGCAAATTACCTGGGAAAAGAAAGTCTCCAATGGGCATCTTGGCCTCAATGTCTATGCGGCAGTACTTAAATGCCTCATGGGATGTCAGTTTCGCCGAGTCATAGGGAGGCATAAACTTCCTAAACGGCAATCTGTACTTCTTTTCGCCACATCTTTGATTGGAATCGCGTTTCGTATAAGTGCAGTTCTCGAGATAGAAGGGATTTTTGGAGCCGTAGTTGGCCTTAGTTACCTTTAGGTGAAGCATGTTGTTTTCCACATACGAGTTTGCTCTTCGATTCACAAAGGCCACTCCCTCATAGTGGGGTTCCAGAAGCTGTGATTGCACCACATGCTTCCAATTATGCAAAGGATTCTCACCATCTCCAAATGACTCGGAGAACAACAACCTACCACTACAGTTGACGGGCTTCCCTCTGTGGTGCGAAATCGAGGGCAGGCAGTACCTCGTGGAGCTACGTAGATTCTCGCAATTTATACTTTCCTCGGTTGATGGGAGGAATTTCTGTAGAGGCCCTGTCCGAACAAAGGTTTCTCCGAGGTATCTGTAACTCTCGATCATAGTTTCGTTTTGATTTGTCTCTACGACGGCAGTGATTTTAATGCTATTATTGCCTAGGTTTTCCCGAATAGCCCACGGATGCACGATGATCGGGTCCAACATATAGTCATAGAAGGGACATTGGCCTCCTCCATACTCTGCGTAAAAGAACACCGACCTAAATCGATAATCCTCTACGTATTTGATTCATTAATAGTTTTTAGGCAGAAACATGTATGGCCATCTTACCTTCGTTTTGGCTGGCATTCACAACAAAGTTAGGAAACTGAAAGGAACCCAAGCCAACCAAGTGACTTACGGGTAATATAATTGCCAACCACAGACTCGTCTTCATCCTTTCAGATAAGCAACCATACTGAAGCACTCGAGTTTACTGAGTTCCTCTCGGAGCTTTATTCGCGATAAGATTTTGACCGGAACGTATGTAATTATGTAAACATCTACATACATTATGGATTATAGGTATCAGTTAGCGTAGACCCGAACGTAATCTATCTTTAAGGCGGGCTGCTTCCAAGTGGGTAGCCACTGATCTTGACCCTGGTAGAACTGCAGCTTCGCCTGGGGATGGTAGTTGGCCCAAGGCTTCTCATAAGTGGCGGTGCGAAGTTGGTCCACAAAGTCACCAAATCCGCCCACAGAGATGCCCAACGAAATGTAAAACTGTAGAGGTATATTTGAATTAAATAATTAATTTACTTAGCTCACGTGCTTACCATTCTATCGAACGGAGCCATGGGACCACCCTGCTTCCACCTGGGATTCTCGTCCAGTTCAGTGAACCCATTTAGCATCTCGCCATAGGCCTGTCCATCCACAGAGAACAGCAGTCTATTGCTGCTCCAGTCCAAGCTGTAGGTGTGAAAGTCATCGCCGAAATGGGATATCTTTCGCTTGCTCAGCCACAAGTCCTCCCTTTGGTGGGCATCCGTGGAGAGTACAGGTCCTCCGTATAGAGATCTACCATCTACGAGCTTTCCGCGCGGCATCCTCAGAACGGAGTTACCCCTGGCCAAGGCCACTCGCAGCTGTCCGGACTCGTAGCCCGATTGCCCGTACCATTCGGTAAGGGGTTCGAGTAGTAGGAGGGGTACCTAATGAAGAGGGAGGAATATGAATGTTATAGCTAATAACTATCATCTCACTTACTATCCAATCCCCCTTTGGTAGCTTGGCTCGGATCTCAATGCGTCCGTATTGAAAAGCAAAGGTGTCCTTGGTGCTGACTCGAGGTGTTACAATTGGGGGCATTATTCCACTGGGTCCACTGCCCGTGGAATGCAGGATACATTCCTTAATTCTGTTGTGGGTTCCGGTACAACGCTCCGAGAGATCGAGTCTGGAATTGGCTATGGAGAGATCCGGGCGATAGCTGGACCAAAGAAGCGGCTCAATAACCAGATTGCCATCGTAAACTGTGGCTTTCCCATCGTACAAGACGAACTCTGCATCCTTGGAGTCCAGGGGCAGACGAACATCATGGATCCACAGAGATTCATTCAGCTGATCAAAGGTCTCCTCAAAAAGAAGTTGTCCCTTACATATGGAAACGCCAATTTGCGGCGAAACCTGGGTTTCAGAAGGTTCACAGACGGCTGGAACGGCGGTTTCCAAAGCACTGCCTTCAGTGCTCAGCTGGTTGTCATCCGCAAAGTCATCTTCACCGGGCAAACATCCCTTGGGTCGATAGTCGCCACCAAGATTGCACACTTGCAAGGGCTGCGCCAGATCCTGGTACACAGCCTTTTGGTGCTGCACACTGGTCCAAAGGTATAGAATATCTTGGGCTCTCAAGGGAACCGAGCTAAAGTTGCTCGTCCACCTGCCATTCTGGGCTTCAGTCAGCCTCACGTTATACTGTCCCTCGTTGATGAAGGATGTGAAATTCCGATTGCGATTCACATTAAAAGCCACTACTTTCACGCCTTCTTCATCTGAAAAGAAAATCAACAGGAAAAAATTAGCAAGTCTATACTTCAGACTGTAACTTGTACGAAATTGTGATTATAATTATAGATTGTAAACATTGTTCGGTTTTTATGGCATTCCAGAGATCGTAAGGTGAAGAAAGATATTAAAAAACTACAAAGTGGCTCATCCCTTACTCACCCGGGATAGAAACGCGAAATCCATTCTCAAGGAGCTCCACAGTCGGTGTGGGGATCTTGTAGCAAGTGGTGCATCCAAAGCCAATGAGCACTAGTATACCAATGCACAGTCCTGACATTTTGAATCCTCGATCTCAGCACTTTTCCCAAGAATCCGAAGCCTCTGACTCAATCTGTGTGTCTACCTCACTGGCAGACCGGTTTCTGTCGCTGGTGAGGAGCGATTATTATTATTTGTTTACTTTAAGTTGGTCCGGACAATCGCGATTCGGCGCATGCGAATCCACATTGATATCAGCTCCGGCTGCGATCTGGCTTCTCTGGGACTTAGCCATTTTTGAAACATCCCGTAGACCCTGAAAAATAGGTTCTACGCAGCCTATTAGTGATCCACCTCCGAATGAAAGCTTAAACAGCTGATGAGATAACTAAAGCTCGTTTTACACGACTAAAAATACTGTTCACAATTAAAAACAATTCGGAATATTATTTCCTAAAGAATTGGCAATTTGAGATTTAGGTAAAGTATGTACTTTAATCTGTAATCTGTTTACTGTTCACTATATCTACAATTTGGTAAAAATGAAAAAAAGAAAATGAAGTGTATTTTGAATATTTTGATTGGAGTGCAGCTACAATCAAGGGGAGCTTGAACCGGGCCAAGCTTTTATGATCAATATTTTCAATCTGATGCAGCAGTTCCAGCGCACAGCTTCTCAGATTAATACTTTAATCGCATTCTAGTTAGTACACATATTAAGAGCGATTAAAACTGCGTCATGAGGTGGGCAACTCTGCCATGTTTATTGTTGCTGATATGCAGCAATGAAATCTTTAGTTTTAAAGTTCCAAGTATTGATTTTGAAATGCTAAGAGATGAAGGATTCGAGGTGTCCATACCAGGTGACTTTTACAACATGTGCATGGTTAAATTAATCATTGCGTTAATTTATTCATATTGGAAAAGCTTTAATGTCTAGTTAGACGCCCCACTAAGGTTTCTTAGTTAAAAATAGACGTAAATTCATGAATCAGGTCTAAACATTGGAAGATCTTGTTTGAATAATTGCTATTGGTATTAGTAATTTGTTGATTTTCTCATACCGCTTTAGATGAACCTGGCATACTGCGGGTTTTCTACATGTTCCAAATAGACGACACTTGTCCCGCTCTAATGGACTACATCACGGAGGCAGTGAACGGAAGTTGGGTATCCAGGCAGAAGATGAGTCTGCAGAATAACGACAAGCTGCAGATATCTATGCTGGTGCAGTTTAATGAGGAGATCTTTGAAAAGAGCGAGACCAGGGTGATCCTAAACACCCGTCTACTGACCACCAAAGACTCCAGCTCGCGAAGCATAACCTTCCTTTCAGGAGAGGCTGAGTGTCAGGCATACCTAGCTCCTGCACAGCAAGTCAAACGCTGCAAGCCCGCCCAAACGATAGTGAGCAATGGACGCCAGACTTGCCAGGGTGAACTCATCTTCGAGGACAACTTCTCGGAGGCGCAGCTGAACAAGACCACCTGGAAACATGACATTCGGTTCGAGAAATCATTGGACGACTCATTGGATATGTCTAAGATATGCTATACCTCTTTTTAGACAGCGAATGTACCACGTGGAGGAGGAGCTGGTGGCCTTTGACGATGCCGCACGAAACTCCTTTGTAAAGGAAGGCGAGCTCCACATCGTGCCCACTATTGCCTCCGAGGTTTCCGATGGCAGCTTCATGCTGGGCGATCGCTGTACGGCCGTCGAAAGTCCGGAGCAGGAGTGCAGCATTGCGCACGGCATCTTCTATAGCATCAAACCGCCAGTTTTCTCCGCTCAAATTCACACCAGGAACTCATTCAGTTTCAAATTTGGCAAAATCGTCGTGCGGGCCAAGTTGCCAAAAGGAGATTGGCTTTTTCCCTGTGAGTCAATGTTTTCCTATTACAAAAGTTTTTTCATATTCATGTAATTTATTCAAGATCTGATGCTTCAACCGGTTTCCACTTACGCGGAGACCCACTTTGCCAAACAACTGAGTAAGTTGCAATAACTTTATCAGCTGTAAGGCTTTCTTTTTGTCTTTCCCTAACTTTATATCTTACTTTCAGGAATTGCATATGCCCGAGGTAATGCCAATTTGAGAACCAAACAAGGCGATGATATTTCCGGGAACCACTTATATGGCGGTGGTGTAGTCTGGCACCACGGCAATGCGGTCCAGTTCCTCAAGGACAAAATAAGCAACGCCCACTACGGAGACGATTTTCACAACTATACCATGATCTGGCAGCGGGATAAGATAACCCTGATGGTGGACGAGGAGGTTTATGGGGAGCTGTACGACGGACTGTCATTCTTCAACGAGAAGTGCTTTATTATTTTTGGCGTTACAGTGGGAGGCTTCCTGAACTTCGACGACAGTGTACTGGCCAAGGATGTCAAGCCCTATAAAAACAGGGAGCCGCGGGCTGCCCTCTCATTTTGGCAGCACCGCGATTCTTGGGCACCCACCTGGGGAAGGCAGAGTGCGATGATAGTAGATTATGTTAGGGTTTATGCGGAATAACCGGAAATATTAATTAGATACCTACGTGTTATTGTCGAACAGTTAAATCCAAAAACTGATAAGTATTCTGAATAATCGTTTCATTTTCAAAAACTGTTCCAGAAATTGAAAGACACATATCGATAACTTTAAAAGTTATGAGCAAGCAATTTACCGGGGGACTGAGCTTTTAGCACAACGTACGTATTTTCTTCGCGACCTCACATTGTAGAAAACTAGGAATTAGAAAAGTTTCGCCAAGAACATTTGCAATTCTTATCCACATTTTCTGTTTCCCAAATGCCCGCTGCAATCGATTGCTGCCGGCCGACACATTGACATTGATTTTGCGTTATCGAACAGATCGAAACTGGCAGCATCGATACTATCGACCGCACATCGGCCCGTCGGCCAGCTCTAGTTTTTTTCCCCCGAAAGGAACAGACAAGCGAACTGGACTGGGAAACAGCAGCAGCAGCAGCAGCCGTTTGAATTGAATATCATTCCCCATTTCGAGCTAAAACGTCGTTGAGAGCCAACCAGGAAGAATCCAACGGCGCACCATGCCTTCGGCTGCAAATACCGCTACTGTTACCGCTGCAACCGCCACCACCGTCGCCGCCACTGCCAGCAACAACAACAACAACAGCACCAACGCCTGCAAAGAGAAGCGCTCCTCCATCATTTCGTTGAGCGGATCGGTAATCCCGGAAGTAGGAGCAGGAGTGGCAGCCGGAGCCGGAGTCGCGACCACCAATGGCCAGAGCAACAACAGCGCGGCAGCGACAGCGGACGGCAGCCAAACGGATTTGGCCAGCAGCAACAACAATGGAAACGCTGTCAAATCGAAGGCGAGTGCTGTGTCCGCTGCTGCCGTTCCAGAGCCGTACAATCCGCTCAAGCAGCTGCTGGTGACCATCGAGCACAAGATCCGGAACCTGGAGAAGCGCAAGGTCAGTGTGAAGGGGCCGGTAAAGTGCCGCAAAGGAACCCTTTTTCGGCAGCATGGCCCACCATTTTTATTTTCATTCCTCCGTGTTGCTTTGTTTCGTTTTGCGCTCACCCCTTGCCCCCTGCCTCCCCTCGCGGCCTGAGTTCTCGGGGCTGGCAGATTTTTCGCGACGCCATGTTTTCTAGAGCACAGAGTTGCCGGATCGCGCACAGCGGCCGGCATGTCAATTAGAAACAGGCAAAAATTACATGCTTCGATATGCCGAGTGTTTAAGCTGCTTTCGTGCACAGCACAAAAAGTGATTACATTTTATGTGTTCAGCTCGTTGGTTCCAGAAAGTTCCTACATTGAAGAGCACGCACTGTCGACAGCTGTGTGGCCGGCGGGTCTGGCAACATCATTTGCCGGCTCGTTTTGGTTTTGTTTATAGGTTTGCAGAATTAATATAGGGCAATAAAGAAAAAACAAAAACATTTGATACCAAGCAACAAATAGGAAACACTTTGATTATTCATTTATTATAATTACATAATTGAGCTTACATTTTATTTATTTATGCTCTATATTACTGTACATTAATCTGACTAGATTTTCTTTTAATTAGTTAAAATGTAATCACAAATGTTTCTTATTTTAAATGTTATTTGGTCACAGACATGCATACAGCTTATAAATTCTCCTGGCTTTCAGAAAAATTGATGTCGCAGTATGGTTCGACCACGTTCAATTAGTACATTTAGTAAAAAAATAAAATATCAAACAGCAGTGGTTGAAAACACCAATCGTTGAATAAAGAATAAATAACTATGGGGGCGCCACCAATTTCAATTTTCAGCAAAACCCACTTAAAACTTATCTTTGGCAGGCGATAATAGGTGTTTTTCTAATTACCTTGTACCTAAAAGAGAGCTAATAGCTAAGATTTTGTGCACCCTTGTACTATTTTGCTTCACATGTATTTTCTGCATATATAGATCTAATTATTAACGCTGCAGCTGAACAAATGCGACAAACACTGACTCATCCATCTCTCTTATCTAGACCAAACTGGAGTCCTATCGCGCTATACAGAGCGGCGGAAAGGAACTGAGCGGCGACCAGGCTTCGGCTGTGGCCAAATACGATGCGGTTTTGGCCAATCTGGAGTTTGCCCGTGAGCTGGCCAAGCATATTCAGCAGCAGTCCAAGGAGGCCGAAAAGGAGCAGAAGAAGCTGGCGCGCAAGGTAAGCTCATTAAATCATCATTTTCCGCTGATGCTAATTTCACTTTCTGCCAAAGGAAAACCAGGCGAAGACAATTGCTGAGACGTCCAAGATTCGGGAGGTTCTGATCATTCAGAACGTGCTCAGCTGCTTCAACGACGAACAAGTGCGCAACGATTTTCTGGTTGGCGAAAATGGAGCGAAAAAGTTGGAAAACAACGAACTGGAAGTGCTGGAGAAGTTGTAAGCAGCACATATTTTACACGATTTAGATCATGAAATTTTTCTAGTAAAGCTACCATTTGCTAATTTATTATTTCAAAATCCTTATCTTTTTTTTTAGTTTCATTGAGACGCAAACTCGCCGCCCGGAAACTGCTGACGATGTAAGCTTTATTGCCACTGCCCAGAAGTCTGCCGAACTGTTTTACTCGACCATAAATGCGCGTCCAAAGTCTTTCGGTGATGTGACCTTCGAGAAGTTGCGATCTCTCTTCCAGCAGATCCAGGACTGTGGGTATCTGGACAAGTACTACTTTGTTCCGCTGGCCGAAAACGCGGTAGCCAACAGTACGGATAGTGGAACTGGAAGCGGCGATGGAGAAAGCAACGACTTGTTGAACGATGGCTCTGGCGAACTGGATACGGAACTGCCATCGGAGCCATCGGCTCGAAACTCGTTGGAGGACGGACTGGACAAGTTGCATTTGGGCGTGCAGATAGAATTGGAGCAACATCCACCGCACCAGCAACAGCAGGAGCGTCCGAGCCATCATTTGGAGCAGCATCACCAGAGAGCTCCTTCCTTGGAACATCTGCAGAACTTGGTGGTGCAGCAACAACAACAGCAGCAGCAGCCTACCCAGGTCTACCAAGCAGCTCCTCATGCCGGAGGAACCACCACGCCAGTGCATGTTCTGTACGCTCCAGCGCCACCTGCCCAGCAGCAGCCCCAGCAGCCGCCGCCGCATCCTCACCAGCTGTTGACCAGCCCAGTGAATCTCCAGGCCTTGCAAACTGGAGCAGCTGCGCCACCAGCACAACAGCAGCAGCCACATCCAACCCACTTTGCTCCCAATGTGAGGGCCGTGGAGCAAAACTACTTCAAGCAGGTAGTCCCTCAAGGTCCTGGACTCCAGGCACCACCAACGCCCCAGCAGCAGCAGTTTATGCAGCAGATGCGCCCCTTGGCGGAGGTCTTGGGCACAGGAAGCTTCCATTTTCTGCAGGACAGTGAACTGGACAATCCTGAGGCTTTAGCCCCGCCGCCTCCGCCCAATCAGGGATTGGTATTTGAGCAGCAACCGCAGCAGCCCAACCATGTCGAAGAACCACCGCAGGCCATACAAACGCTGACCTTCACCAACCAATCCTTCCCGTCGCAGCAGCCCAAGCTCCAGCAGCAGGGTCCGCAGCAGCAACAGCTTTTCTCCCCGGTTCTGATCCACGAGCAACGCCAACAGCAACCACAGCAGCAGCCGCAACCAATGTTGATAATGCCGCGTCTGCCAACCCAACAGCCTCAGCAGCCTGCTCCTCAGGGAATTGGTATGCAGCCGGGCGATGTGACCTCAGTGTTCCCATACGAAAGTGCTGTGGTTACCTATGAACAGCAGATCCAGCAGCAGCTGAAACAGCAACAACAGCAGCAGCAACAACAACAGCAGCAGCAGCAACATCTACAGCAGCTGGATGAGCCCTCGTCTGTGAACAGCTCTTCGAGTGTCGGTGCTGGTGGAGATGTGGAGAACAATGAATGGCATGCCCGTAATAACAATACGAATGCTGCCGCCACAGCTGCGCTCACGAATGTGCTCAAAGGCGAGGCCACGCCACCGGCACCGCCCACCAAGTGGAGCTCGGAGATGAATGCGATGAGCAGCGCTGCCTCGAATGGCAGTAGCAACACCAGCCACAAGCAGGAGTGGGCCACGCCCAGGGACCACAGCGCTGGCGGTGGCAATGGCGGTTACGCTGATAACGAGGGTAACAACCATTGGAACAACTCGCAAGGAGAGGGACGTCGCAACTCTGGCAACTATCAGCGTCGTGGCGGAGACAGGGATAACCGGGATCGCGATCAGGGAGGACGAGGCGATGAGCGGCGAAATGGCGGCGACAGGGGCAACTACCGGTCGCGTCAATACGGCAACTCATCCAACACGAACGGACGCAATTCGGGCAACAGCAGTGTGTACTTCCGGAACAATGAGTCGGGCAATGGCGGCGGCAACAGCTACTACCAGAACGGCGGAGGTGGCGGCGGCACGTACAACAAGGAGTCGCGCTACGAGTCCTCAGGCGGCGGCGGAGGAAGCTATCGGGGCCAGCGCGGTGGCAACCAGCAGAGGAATGTGAATGGTTCGTATGGCGGCGGCAGGCCCATGGGCGATCGTGGACGCGGCGGTGCGGGCAACCAGGGAGGTGGTGGTGGCTACATAAACCGCCAGAACCAGTCGCAACGCATGCCTCTTGGACTGGAGAATAAAAACTGAGCAAACAATACGTATTAACCGCAAACAAAACACATACAATTCATGCAAACCATAAACACAAAATCCATACAGAAAACAAGGAAACCAATCATCAACATGCAAGTAATGGCCACGTACAATTATTGTTACGCAAAAACACTCTCAACCATGAGGAATGGAAATCTATCAAAAGGAATCCTCTATAACGCAATCGAATCGAAAATGAAGCAGACACACAAATCAATTCGTGCGCATTTTTCAATACGATTTATATTACTTCCTTTGAATTTGGTTTATTCGATAATGTATTAATAATAAAACAAAATAGTGGTTAGAAACAAGAAGGAATTACAACTATATACAGGAAAGTAAGCGCTCCAAGGGTTTCTAAAACTCCCAGACAGGACTTCGTCAAAGGAAAACAAACGAAAGATGGGCAATGTATGTAACTTGGATCTGCCATTTCTTGCTTGATTTTACTATACATATGTATGTCTGTTTGACCGATGATATGGCGATGAAGCTGATGATAACAGATGTCGAGAGAAGGAATATAAAAAGTATTTATACGTCTTAGCAATTAAATAACGATTCTGAAATATACAAATTAATTACTATTACCTATATATATAAACGAAGTATAAATATATTTATAGTTTGTGCTCTTACTGTCCTGCTCTATCCCATTTCAACACTTTTTTTTGTTCTGCCAATCTTTTACACACAAACGATGAAAGCAAAAATACAAAGCCACGTAAAAAATAATAGTTGTAATTAATACTGCGCGAATGGAGAAGCGTGCACACTAACAGTGCATTATAAATGAAATGAAAACTGTGTATTTGCAAGATAGTACATACATTAAACAAAGTATATAAAGCATTCGATTTCTTGAACTAATTGGGCGCCCGGCATTTTTACATTTCCGTAGAATATTTGAATATATGACAAATGGAAAATTAAGTTTCTTATCTATGATTATAGAAATCCCTTAAAGAATTTCCTTGCTAACTATTCAATTTTGTCCGGCTTCTTGGACTCCACCGTTCCTCCATCGCAAAGAAACCAGAGACCAGCCAGAATCAGCGTTATTCCGATGCAGGATAATACTGTCAGTGGTTCCCGATAAACAAGCGCTCCCAAGATGAACTATATAGCGAATGTTAATCAGTAAATCAGATATTTCGGGAGAACACCTACCGATAAGACATAGTTGGAAGCGGCAGTTAAAACGACGCAGGTCAGAGTTTGTTCAGTCATTTGCAGGGCCTTCAGAAAGCAGCGCAAGTTGCATACATTGCATATTATCATTAGCACTAATGGCAGCAGCTGAAGTAATGCTAATTCTAAAAAATGTAAGGTGTTATTTGATTGATTAACGAGTTGCTTGTCTTGAGAAATCACAAACTTGCCTAAATATGAAGAGTCTGCTTTAATTTGCGAAGTATTGAGTAGTTTCCGGGCGCTGAGGTGGCTGGGCAGTTTTCCGAAAAAGCTTCCTGCAGCTGCAAAGGACCCAGCCACCAAACTATATCGGTATTTAGCGAGGGATTCCATTTAGTTCAATTTTAAACTTCAAGCCAATAAAAATGTAAACAGAAAGCAAGCGGGAAAACAGCTGATGCTTAAGGCTGCTAACTTACCTCAATAACATAAACCTGCTAACCTGGGTGAAAACATGGCGTGGTTTATCAAAAAGCCACCAGGTGGAGCCACTTGGGCGCACAATTTAAAAAAGTAAATATACCATTCACTTCGATTCTCATAAAAATATAAGCACCTTTTAATATAAAACCGCCAATTAAATGTTGTGTGTAATTTTTCGCATTTCATTTGTTTATTTTACAAAACGTTCAGCTATGCCTTGACATTCATCGAAAAAGTCTCATTTGCTAATTGCGCGTTGTATTTGCATCTTTTTGGAATTGTGTAGGTATATATACAAAGACGGTTGCTACATAAATAATACATATAATCTTGTACCTCTCAACAAAGCGCAACTTACATGACGCAGAGCAAAGTAGTTGCATTACAAAATAAATCTCTATGCTGTCGTCTGGCATAAACAATTCTTTCAATTCAAACATTTAGACACTTATATGGGAAATTGCTTGAGTGCTATGCATTTTGTCTCATTGCTTTGCTTTTCTTTGCTGTCACGGTTTAACTACAATTTCGCTATCGTCCTATAACTATATATTTAGTTAAATATTTACTTGTTGCATAATACTTTGCCTGTTTCGGTTTTAACACTCACGCGGAAACACAGATATTCCTAATGCACTCCAAGCAAATCTATTAAGTTAGGTTCTTAGCATTGCTATATAAATATTTTTTGATGTTTTTCCGTTTTGATTTAGTTTTTATATGTATATCGATCGACTAAGGTAAACTGCTCACAATCATTTTATATGTAATTCCTTTTATATTCTTTAAAATGTATACATATGTTGTATATTTGTATAAATTTGTTTCGTATAATTGGTTGTGTGTCTTTAGTGTGTGTTGTGTCTGCTAGGAAAATGCAACGACTTTCAGCCGTTTCCGGGGGCTCACAGAACTGAACCCCCTGCTCAAAACCAACATGCATTTGTGTTGTGTGTAATCAACATTCAACATTCAACAATTCACTCACTGAACTCGGCTAAGCTAATAAAAAGACACTTTTTTCTTGCCATTCAATAAATGGTTATCGGATATCCCTCTGACAATTCTGGCTGCTCCAGCACGATGCCCTCTACATCAGGACGCAGCACCTGCGACTGGAACTGGTGCTATCGGTGACCACGTCGCCAGTGATGCCGCTGAACTTGTTCAGCGAACTGCCCGCCGGGGAGGAGACCTCGAAGTCGGATAGCACGCTGCCCGGACCCATGTGACCCAGTGTTGGTTGCGTGGAGATCGGTGCTGATCCATTGTTGTTATTGTTGTTGTTGTTGTTGCTGGTGCTTAGGTTGTTGTTGTTGTTGCTGCTGCCGCCGGCTCCTAAAACAGAACCATTAGTTGTTGTGGCACTGGCTGCTGCAATTGGATGGGCATTGCTAGTTGCTTGGGATGACAATTCGAAAGTATTGAGGACATTGGCGGTGCGTGAAAGCGAGCGTTGCTTCTTCAAGTTGGCCAGTGTGGCACCGTAGCCATCCAAGGCAACATGCTGCTGCTGCTGCGACTGCTGCTGTTGCTGCTGCTGCTGTTGTTGCTGCAACAGCAGTAAGTGTTGCTGCTGCTGGTGGTGCTGCTGCTGCTGCTGCTGCTGTTGATGTGGCTGATGTTGCTGATGGTGGTGCGTGCTATTGGTGTCTGGATGTTGGCGGTTTTGGCAAGGCGTTGGGTGTGTTTGGTGTGTAGTGGTGCGTTGGTGGTTGTTGTTTTTATTGTTGATGATGATGCGGGCAGGCAGACGACACAGAACGGGCGAAACGAGGCACAACAACGACAACAAAAAAGAATGAAACGGAAACAAGCAAATGTTATTTTACTTCTCTTCTATTTTCCCGAGAGTTAAGTTAGCAGATACCCCTGGACCAGTTGGGAGTGATCGAATAGGTGGGATGGATGTTACATGCGAGTCAAATATGCTAATTGCAGCCATGCTCCTCTCTACTCGGTACGATATTTATAGCAAGTAAGTAAGCAGTAAGCTATTAAAAAGTAATCATTTACATAAATAATAATATATGCTTAAGCTATCCCATTTTAGACGGTTAACTGAAGAAATCATTAATAATGCATAGTTTACAGCCTAATGAAATAAGCGTTCAGTCAATTTATATGAACAGCATTTTACTACAACAATATATTAACAAATATACAACAAAACTGCTATCTCTCGAATGCTGCCCATTAATACTCCTACTGAGGTATCAAATAGCGTTTCCTACAGGGCATACGCCATTCGCTACACCACCCATGCTGTTAGCTGTGTTTGCTTGTTGAAAGTATTTTCATTTCCATTTTAGTAGAGTCGTTAAATAAACATTAAACATTGACATTGACACGGGGACAGAATGGCGCTTAAGCAGAACTCTTCGTGATACGTTGACGCTCCTTGGGAGCCAAAGAGGAGGTGGTTGGATGGGGGGTGCCTGAGTAAATGGTTGGCTTTGGTGGAAAGGAGGAAGCGGAAGCAAGCCTGACACGTGGCCAAAGGCGGTTGACTCACCCACGAGGACGGTGACCTGGACATTGATTTTGCCGTTGGCGGCCTCCTTCGACGACTGGATCTGAACGGCCTCGGCACTGGCCGCCGTTCCCTTTTCGGTGAGGATGACGGCCGCCGCCGAGGTGGCTCGCTGCATCTCTGCCGCGCCACCTGCGGCTTTCAGGCGGAGCAGCTCATCGTTTTCCCGGCCATCCGGTGGACGGCGCGACGTATAGGAATGTGTGGCGGTGGCCGCCAATGCGGCGGAGGATGCCATCATGGCATTGTCCAGCGCATCGGCGGACTTGGAGTGCGGCAGTGCTTGGCCATTCGAACTGCCCGTCGAGGCTCGCTTCTCTCCGTTGTTGTTTCCGTAACCATAGCCATTGGTCAGCGGATCCCCTCCCGAAGCGGGCGCCTCCGAGTCCGTCGCCTCCTGCGCTTGCAGACGCAGACGCGTCTCCTCGACGGCATCCTTTTTGGTTGTCAGCGTTTTGTCTCGCAAACTGGTGCGTCGCACTGATTGGGCTCTGTGGAGTTAGCAATAGTTAGCTTCAATGGTCTTAAGGGGCTCCAAATGCTTTATAAATGCCTTGTGTTGTTGCTCTGCGAGCGTCGAACGCGTCGTCGCTGTGCCTCGGCCAGTCGTTTGCTCTCCTGCTCCGTCTTCAGCTGCTCGATGCGCTCCCTGATCTCGGGATCTTCACAGATGTCTACGAAGGAAATGGAATTGAAGTATTACATGTTTGCCAGTTAACATTTATCCTAGTATAAATGAGCCTATGTGTTCAATTTAAATACTGCACTGGGCAGAAATTTATGCAAAGTGGGAACACTTCTTCAAATTAGCCATCTTAAATCGTTTTTCCTATCAAGCTCGATAAGTGTAAGCAGAGTTCTTCACAGCTGAGAGCGCTTTTCCTGCTACAAATAGTCTAGATTTACACATTTTCCGTGTGGCATTAACAACAATTTATAGCTCAATTTCATATTCATGGCTATTCTGCGCTGCCAGGATAAGAGAGCGCCGCAAACTTTTCGCATATTCTCACCTGAAGGAGTCTCGTCGTCCTTGTTGCGAACATTTAGATCAGCACCGCATTGTGCCAGCATCTCCAGCACCTCCAGCTAAAAAGGGGAGATATTTAAAGTTATTATTCCCATTTATTTGGCTTCGAGGCTTCACTCACATGACCCCAACAGGCGGCGGCATGAACCGGAGTCCACAGATCCTTGTCCATGGCATCCACGTTGACATGCTGCTCCAGCAGAAACTCCACGACGCGGACGTATCCATTGGCAGCAGCTATGTGGAGCTGAACAAAACAAATTGGAGATTACACGCAGGAAGTGAGTATGGGCTTAATGAAGTCGGATTACTATGCTCTCCAATGAAAATGATTGTGTAGGAGTTATTGGATTTTTCTTAAGATGAAATTCCACCTACCGGTGTTGCGCACTGGTAGTCCGGCTCCTCCAAGTCGCCGCCTGTGCGGGCCAACTCCATTAGGTCGCGCAGCATAATCCGCTCCGTGGAGGAGCGCGTCTCATCGATGAGCTCCTGGGTCACGCCACGTTGGGCCATCTCGCCCTCGATGAAGTCCAGCGTGTTCTCGTCGTCGCACAGGTCGTAGGGCATGTTGCCGTCGGTGTTCACCGCCAGTAGATTGGCGCCGTGCCGGATGAGGATGCGGACGAGGTCGAGGTGGCCGCAGGTGGCTGCCGCATGAAGGGGCGTCCACTTATCACTGTCCTGCGCATCCACATTCGCACCGTACTCCAGCAGCAGCTGCAGCATCTCGACGTTGTTATCGATGCACGCCTGATGCATCGCCGTCAGTCCGTCCTCGTTTGCGGCATCCGGCGTGATTCCGTGCTGCAGCAGCGCCGCCACCTCGGGCATATCGTTCCGGGATGCGGCCTCCAGCAGCACCACGCTGTTCTCGAAGGATATGTGCCGCCTGCCGCTCAGCGTGCCCGATCCATTGGCGTGCCGGAAGTGGTGCGTGGTATCTCCGTTGCCGTTCATCAGCCCGTTGCCCAGCGATCCGCTGCCACCGCCGCCGCCGCTGCCGCCGCTCGCCGTGTTGCCCTTCGCCCGCTGCAACTTGGCCCACTCCTTGTCCTTCTGCCGGGAGAGCTTCAGCTGCTGGGCTCGCCGTCTAATTAACAACGAGGGATTGAGGAGGAGATGTGGGATTAGTTGTGCAAGTTTAAGGGCTTTAAGAATGAATAAGGGGCAATCTGGGCGGAGTCTAAAGGGATTCACTTAGACAAAAGCCATCAATTTAATGTTCTATTCCCAGTTTTAAAAGTTAAAAATTGTCATTCAATAAAATTCAATCAAGTTAATGTAGATTTCAATCAGATTTCGCCTGCATTACACAGACGCGTATCGATTTTCGCAACATTATCTTTTGTTAAACCTGTGAATAATATTATTGGAATTTTTATTTTTGGAATACAATGCTTGCTGCCAATTTAATGAATGGAATGTTGTGA